TCTTTCTTCTGAAGTATGGAGGAAATCCAGTGTCTTGTGCTGTTGGTTTGGCTGTCCTGGATATCATTGAAAAGGAAGACCTCCAGGGAAATGCTATGAAAGTAGGAAATTACCTTATTGAGTTACTGAATAAGCTGAAGGCTAAGCACACTTTGATAGGCAATATTAGGTATGTTTATTATGAAGTTGTCTTCTAGTTATTTGTTTTTCCAAAATAGAAGCTTATATTTTACATTATAAATTTAAAATAAAGTATATAAAACTAAATCTAGAAAACACTGAGAAACAGAATGCAAAAATCATTCTTCTTTCAGAATACAGATATCATCACTGTTAACATTTGTGTGTATATCTTTCCTTTCATCCTGTTTCTTTTTTATAAATCTAGCATAATTTCAGCTCCCCCCCAAAATGAAATGAAGACATTTAAGGTAATTCTAAACAATCTATGCAAAATTATTTAAAATGTCCTCCTAGAAAGTTGGATATTTTTCAGATACATATGGATATCTACCATCATAAATATCCTGAGAAATTAAATGGCATGAAAAGGTTGTTTTAGGTCCTTTCCTTTTATAATTGAGAAAAAAAATTCATGGAAAAACTGTTTCAAAAACTAGAATTAACCATGAACACTGGGTTGGTTAAAAATCAATAACAATTCCACTTCAAGGGTATCACATTCAGCTTTAAACTAAACTGAATTTTGGGGACAGTGTTAATTTTTTGTGACAGTGCAGTGTTCTCTAGAATGTGTGACATGTTTTTCTTCCCCACCTTCCCAGGGGCATCGGCCTTTTTATCGGGATTGACTTAGTGAAGGACCATGAGGAAAGAACCCCGGCCACAGCAGAAGCCCAGCATGTCATCTACAAGTAAATTCACCTCCACATCTTTTGGTACCTTGGCCCACTTGAAAGCTTGTTTCACTTACTCTTAGCTCTCCAAAAAAGGAAAATTTAAGACACATGCAGTTTATAAATGTGGGCTTTGTGAATGCAGAGTATATGTCTGCACTGTGTTCCCGTGGTCCTTAAGCAATCTTTAGCTGTCATTCATATACACTCACACATATTTTCTACACTAATTAGGATGAAAGAAAAACGAGTACTTCTCAGTGTCGATGGACCTCATAGAAATGTGCTTAAAATAAAACCACCCATGTGCTTCACTGAAGAAAATGCAAAGTTTATGGTGGACCAACTCGATGGGACTTTAACAGGTGGGTACACAGATATTTAAGATGTCTCCTGGCCTCCTCCTCAAAACTCACTGCCTCCCCACAGCCTCAGCCTCGGCCATCCATGACCGTGAGCATCTTGTGTCCATGATGGAAGTGAGGGAGGACAAATGTATCACTTCCCATTTAGAACTAGAAACAGCTGAAAAATAACAACTGCATAGGCTCTTAGTTAAATCAAAATTTTCAGTTTATACTCACACAACTTCAAATCTAAGTTTTGACTGAAATAGCACACTTCTATTTTTATTATTTATTTTTACTTTAAATAACTAGGATATTAGCCAGGCACTGTGGCATATGCCTATAATCTCAACTACTTGGGGAGGCTCAGACAGGAAAATTCTAAGTTCAAAACCAGCCTGGGTAACTTAGACCATATCTCAAAATTAAAAATACAAAAGGTTGGAGATGTAGCTCAGTGGTAGAATTCCCCTGGGTTCAATCTCCAGTCACATACACACGAAGGGGAAGGTGAAGGAGAAGGATTTTAAAACTGAATGTCTTCATTACATCATGTACTACAAATACCACAGCATATAGTTTTCAGCACAGTACCATTAAAACACCTAAAACATTTTAATAAAAATTATAGTCTACAGGTTAGCAATTTTTATTACATGCCGAATTGTTTGACTTTGTGTGTTTAAGGTTTAATTTTTTCTTTTCATTGAA